TTATATTTTATTCAGTGTGTGTGTGTGCAGGTGCGTGCATGCGCGTGTGTGCGTGTGTGCCTGTGGTGGTCAGAAGATGTATGAGTTGGTTCTCTCCTTCCACTGTGGATCGTGGGGTCAGACTCGGGTTGTCAGGCTCCGGAATGAACATCCTTACCCACTGAGCCATCTCATGGCTCCACATACTTCTAGAATAAAGAAGTGTCTGTGTGCAACTCAGCTGCCTTGGGTAGGCTTCAAAGAGTACATAGTACACACTGGGCAGGGGAGACCACGTGGCCAGAGAGACAAGCTCAGCCTCAGCGCAACGTTCCTCCACAAGTGTGGTCAGGCTGCTTTGCCCATGCTCTGAGCTCTGGAATTTTCATCAACCACAAGTCAAAGGATTCCTTAAGACATGTGTTGGTCTGGGGCACATCCAGCCCTCTGTGTCCATGGGTGTGAAAGGGTGAATCATAGCATATTGAAAGTTTTTTTTTTTTTTGAGACACAATTTCAAGTGTTCCAGGTTGGCCTCAAACTCACTCTGCAGCCAAGGATGACCCTCCTGTCCCTACCTGTGGAGTGCTGGGATCACAGGCTTTTGCCAGCATGCTCAGTTCACACAGCACTGGGGATGAACACACAGCAGTAAGTGCCAGGCAAGCCCTCTGCCAACTGAGTCCCAGCCCAGACCCATCTAAAACTTCCTAAACTGTGAAAAAATTTCAAGTTCTACAACTAACCAGCCCAAAGGATCTGGCAACAGGGAAGAATCAGAAACAAGCATAGTGTTCACCAGCCAGGCCTACTGAGACACACTCAGTGAACTACAGAACGAAAGTCTAGATGGCCATTAAAAATCCAGAGGAGATTCATGCTTATTGACAAGAGAATGAGCTTAGGGCTGAATTAAAGCAGAGAGTCTCAGGCTAGCACACACGTGGGATCCAGGTCCAGCACTGCATGCAAATGTCAGAGAAATGCCATGGTTACTGCCATCCCCAGGCCAGGACAGATGATCCTGGGCTGTGACCCACAGTCCATGCTCTTGGCAAACTTTGATATATTTTTTTAACGTGAAGAGGTATAACTTAAAAATCTAAAGCAACCCTGGTGTTTCCCACCGAAGACAACCTGAAGCTTTCCCACCTCGTGTACAGACCCCACCTGAGAGCTCCAGGAAGTACGCTGCCCCTGGAGAGACCCTCCTCCCGTGCACTGCAGAGCGGGTGGGCAGACGTCCAGCATCACAGCAGGTGCCTACTCCTAGATCAAATCCAGTCAAGATCTGTGCCTCCCGGCTGATTCCTCTCCCTACAACAGGGTCAAAGCTTACACATGGACTCTTTCTTGCCTAGAGAGCAACTGTTTTCACACTGAAAACCTATTTCAGGGGCTGGAGAGACAGCTCGTTGGTTACAAATATTTGCTACTCTTCCCAGGACCCGAGGTTTTCACATAGTCCTGGTTTCATCATTTAGTGGTTAGCTGTGTCCATGGGAGTGTCTTTAGACTCTCTGTGTGGTGTCTTTTCCAGCTGTAAAACAGGCCTAAGAATTCCTGAGCACCCGGGTGCTGTGAGGATGAAATAAGATCAAGAAAGTGTCCAACGCATGGTCAGGTTCAATCGATGGCAGGACAGGTAGTAAAGCCATTCTCTTTCAACACTGGTCATGGCAAGCCTGCTGCTATGTGCTTGGATATAAGAATGATAATTTAGGGGGCAATTGAGGCCACAGGCTATGGGAAAAAGACAGATGGGGAGGCAGCCCAAATGATGTCCCAAAAGACATTTTCTTTTTCAGAGAAGAAGAGCTGGGGAGGAGATCAATGGCTGCCCTGTAATTCCCCAATGGCTGAGCCGTGGGAGGCCCCCTGTTTCTTCCACACGGCCTCACTGGTTATTATCCTCTGATCTGGCGCGTCTCACTCCGTATCCACAGCCTGTGGCCTTGTCCGGCAAGTTCCTTGGGAGAAATTCCAGGCTGCCGAGAAAAAGATCACGGCAATTGATCAACCTGCTCTATTCTTCACTTCAAGCCAGAGCCAAGGGTAGGAACCAGAGAACTATTTCCACTGTGGCTGGGGGGTGGGGGGGAGGAGATTTCCCAGCAGTCAAAATGAACTTCTACAGGAAGTAGTGAGTTTCCTCTCTCTGGAAGGATTCAAGCAAGGGTTGGAAGGTTCTCAGCCAAGCACGTACGCTTCCAGTGCTCCAAAGTGAGAATCTGTGAATTCCCCTGATTGAGGGCTGCTTTACCTCAATATGAGCCTGAAGTCCGCTATGGGCTGAGTAGAAAATAGCCCACAGCTTCGTGTGCTGAACTGTTCCTCTCCCAGAAGGCAGCATTATTTTAAAAGTTGGCAGAAACTTTAGGAAGTGGGACTAGTTGGAGGAAGTGGGTGGCAGGGAGTGGGTCTTTGGCAGGTCTCTTGTCCATTTCTTCCCAGCTCCCTCTCTTTCCTTCCTGTCAGTTTATCTGTCATATTCCTACCACCATGATGTTCGGCCAAGCAACCATGGCTTGCACTCTCTGAAACTGTGAGCTGAAATAGATCCATCCTCTCAGACTGTTTCTAGCGGGCATTTGTTTACAGTAATAATAACCCTGACTCTTACAGAACCCATCCTTTAGGACTTTCTTTGGCTCCAGTACTATCTGTCTTCGAGTAGATCCCAGGGATCAGGGTCCTTTGAGCCGACAGTCACCCAGAGATAGTGGCCCTTGTCTCAGCAGGAGGATTTAGAGAAGAGGGAGCAAGCAATGTGTTTGACTAGCCCCAGATGTGATAACTCAGGTGGTTGAGTCATCCTAGTGTTACTCTGTGGAGTAACCCCGGTGGTTGGTAAACTCACTCCACAGGTCAAGACCTGCTCAACACTGTTGAATCCCATTCATCAAATGCTACCAGATGGCAAACCAGAGATGACAAATACAGTAGCTGAAAGGCTCTCCAGACCTACCTGCCTACACAGCACTGAACCAGCTGTAAGCACACAGCCTGAGAGAGACTGAGGCCTCACCCCCTCCTTCATAGGCTACTCTTTTTTTTTTTTTTAATAATCTACATTCTTCCATTTAGTTTATTACCTTTTTTAAAATTTTTATTAATTACACTTTATTCACTTTGTATCCCCCCATAAACCCCTCCCTCCTCTCCTCCCAATCCCACCTTCCCTCCCCTTTCTCCACGCATGCCCCTCCCCAAGTACACTGATAGGGGAGGTCTTCCTCTCCTTCCTTCTGATCCTAGTCTATCAGATTTCATCAGGAGTGGCTGCATTGTCATCTTCTGTGGCCTGGTAAGGCTGCTTCCCCCTCAGGGGGAGGTGATCAAAGAGAAGGCCAATCAGTTCATGTCAGAGGCGGTCCCTGTTCCCATTACTATGGAACCTAGTTGGTTCTGAGCTGCCATGGGCTACATCTGTGCAGGGGTTCTAGGTTATCTCCATGCATGGTACTTGGTTGGAGTATGAGTCTCAGAAAGACCCCTGTGCTTTTTTGTTGTTGTTGTTCTGTTGCTCTCTTCACAGGCTTTCTCTTACCTTTGCAGCAGATCCACTGTCAGCAAAATTAGACCAAACAAAACACAGACAGGAAACATGCTCTTGGACAACTTCCTGCATTGTGCTTCCTGGAATTCCATTCTGCAGAAAAACTGGATGGATGCTAACTCACGCATCTCTCAGGTTCATTCTTCCTTGTATGGCCTTCCTTCTCAGCCACATTGTCTCTTTAAGGCAGGAGAACGGGTGGAAAGGAGACTGCGCAGCCATCTGGGGGCCCCACAGTTACAGAGGGTTTCTTGGAAGCTCTGAGAACAGAGATGCCCCTTTCCCCTCCCAATGCAGGAGAGCCGCCAAGACTTTAGACAATGCCACACACCTCATGCATTCTGTTAGCCATCATTTTCTCGTGCTCTGGCTAGGCAGAGACAGAGGCACCCTGCATCAAATCTGCATATCAAAGACCACAACTGGATTTGCCCGGCCCAGCAGAAAGAAGGAGAGGTCACACACACTGTATCAGGCTGACGTAAGTGAACACAGCCTTCCCCTCCCTAAGGTTTAACAGCCATCACACCCTCTATGGGATAGGGGGCACAGGGGTGGCTGCCCAATATGCATGAACAGTGGAACTTAGACTTCTAGTGGGTTGGCCTAGGTATGCTTTAACTTTAAGTCACCATAAAAAAGATTCCATCCCAACTCAAAACAGGAAGAAAATGTGCTATTCAAGGCCCCTGAAAAGCCAACAGGACCACAGCATTAAACAGCTATTGACCTGTGATAGACTGTACCTGTGGAAGGGGGTCACCTGAGACTATTGGAGGAAGAGGAGATGGAGGAGGATTCATCTCCAGCCGTACCCTTGGCAGTAAATTTCTTAAGCTTTGGCTGACATACCCCTCCTCCAGGGGACTAGTACCACAATAAAGATGACCCACCATGCTGTGATCGGTTGCCGGATCATCCACATATGTACCTACATCCTAACCAGGCAGGTTTCTCTGAGAAGTGGGCATTTTCCATGAATGGTAATATAGAAACACAGTGTCCTACCCCTAGGGGTGTCCCCTTCTCCTACAACTGGGGTCACAGAGAAATCCTGGCAGCCACCAACATATACCAGCCCCTTACACACCCATGGACACCCATGAAACTGAGTCTCTGAACCAGCCATGCCAAGGACCAGGCCTAATGACCTCCTGGATCGTACAGGTACATACAACATCCCAAGTTCATCCCAACCCTCAAAGACCATATATAGATGTGGCTCATCAACAGACCCCACAAATGACCCCACAACTCTCTACATTTACAACCCTCACAGACCCCATGAACCTTCTCCCTATCCCCCTAGAGCCCTTGACCTCAGCAAATGCTGCCACTCATTAACTGCGTCTTTCTGACATGCCAAGCCATCCGCACCTCACACAGAATAATTGTGCAAGTGTCACTACCTCCTCCCACGTCAGAACCGTGGGTCACAGATGCCCAAAGCCCCCAGACTCACCGCTAGAGCAGTCAGGGCCTCCCCATCCGGGCTCACAGAGGCAGGTATCTGGGGAGACGCAGCGGCCATGCATACACTCTTCCGTGCACAGGGCTGAGGGCATGGGAGGGAAGAAAAGCCAAAAGTTAGAACCAGACATCTGGGCACAGAGCAGAAACCACTTTGTCATGGGTTCCTGGTGCCAAGGGTGCTCCTGACATATCTTTGGCTTGGGGGATAAACATCAAATTTAGTATGAGCTGAGCTGTTTAACTCTGGAATGTGTCTGGCAAGAGGGCACTGTGTCTGCCCCAGCCTTACTTCTTAAAATGAAACCCCAGCCTGAGTCAGCACAGTCTTGGTTTTTTGGTAACATCTCCTTCAGGGGCTGGAGGTGTAGCTCAGTTGACAGAGAATCCTCCGCATCTCATAAACCATATGTGCCATCACACACTTAATCCTGGCACTTGGGAAGAGGCAGAAGGAAGGTCAGGAGTGTGGGCTCATCCTCAGCTGCAGGGTAAGTCAGAGGCTTGTCATGGACTACATGAGACCTGCCTTGAAAAGATAGCCTCCTTCGGGCTAGATGTGGTGACACACTCCTGTGAGCTCAAGAGTTCAAAGGAAGAGGATCAAGATGAGAGAGACGAAGAGAGAGAGAAAGAGACAGACAGACAGAGACACAGGTAGAGACAGAGAGACAGAGAGAGACAAAGACACAGAAAGTTACAGAGAGAAAGAGAGAAGAGAAAAGAAAAAGAAAAGGAAAAAACAGTGGTGGCGGGATGGTTGGTGAGGTGGCTCAGTGGTTAAGAGCACTTGTTGCTCTTCCAGAGAACTTGAGTTCAGTTCCTAGCATTCACATCTGGCAACTCAACCACTTTGTAAATCTAGGATCCAATGACTTCTAGCCTCCACTGGCATCCACATACCTATGGCATATGCTCATATAGAAAGACACATACACATACGATTAAAAGCAAAATAAATCTAAAGATATAAAAATTTCAGTGTTTGATTTGTGGCTCTGACACAAGTCAGAGCCCCCAATCACACTCCCCAAACTCTTGCCACATCTGCTCAGCAAACCTGCCCCCTCCATGTTTTGCTGGCCACAGTTTCTTTCTGCTAAAGCCCCTCACGTAGCAGGCTCCCTGGCAAGAGCAGACACTGTGCCCCCGCCTTCCTGCCCCCCTCCTCAAACATCCCTATTTTGGGGTTCTCAAATGTCAGCAAATCTGCAAAGTATACAAATGCTGAGGGGAAAAGCAACAGCTAATTATAAGAAAGTAATTAAGAGAGACATCCATGATGATGATAATTGTAATTAGAAAGTGCCTGGCAATTTCTTATCATGCAGCCAAATGCTAGAGCCCCGGAGCCGCCAGGCGAGGCAGTGAGCAAAGTTTCCGTCCACCACACCGGCACTGAGGCGTCTTATTGACAGCTAGTGTGACAAAGGGAGATCATTGCTCTCTCCTTTCGATGGAATCCACATCTTCCAAGGTCACCCTTTGCTCCCCAAGAGATCTGTCCCACCACCTAATCCGTCAGCCAAGAATTACAAAAAACCCTACATGCTACCCCCACTAATTCTTCAAGCCCGGGAAATCAGCAGCTATCATCAACCCTGTCAGTCTCCTGGGTGGGCTTGAGATAAAAGGCTTTTACTCTGAAAGCTGTAAGAATTCATCTTGCTGTCTGTTTCTGGCCTGGGACAAGGAGCAGGTAGCCTCCTGTGGTGAGCCTGGAGTGGCTGCCACTGACTCACCAGCCGGGCCTACATGTTTGCTGGTATAACAGTGGGCCAAGTTATGGTTGGTGTGGGGTCTTTTAGTCCTCCCCTAATGCAGATTCTGGCCCCGGAGTTACTGCTCCTTTAGTTACTTTCCGAGCTCTGTCTAGTTCCCAGGGAGGAAAGGCACCGGGAGAACCACTTCACATAACCCACAGGTCAGAGGTCTGCATAGCCTGCCCCCACGATCCACACAGTGGCTGTTGAGGAAGGCCCTGGTTTATGCCAAGGATCTGCCCGGCCCCAGAACTGAACATCCCTAGCGATGGCTCCCCAACTCCCTGACTAGGGAACCAGGCTGATCCTGGAACTGGGGAACCAACTCCACTTAGAGCCACAATGACCTGCTCACTGGGTACCAGCAAGACCCTAGCCAGTCGCTGCTATGCCAAGGACATTCTGAATGGTTCAAACAGTGGCTGTGTGTCCCTGGAACACACAGGAAAGCAGGTGCCCATCTCTTGCTCCCCATCTCATGCCAGCCCCTTGGCCTCTGCCAGCTGCCAGTGCTGGCCTTGCTGCTCTCTCTCCTCTGTCGCTATTCCTGCAGAAGTTGAGGAGCCTGCGAGATGCACAGCTGGGCTTGTTTAGATCACAACTTATCAGCTTCAGCTCAGCAAGGATACCTCCAGCTGTTTGCCTCCTGAGTGCAGAAAGCCCAAACTTTAACAGTGGGGTCTCTGCCGAGGTAGTAGGAGCCTTCCATAAATTCTAAACCTGCAGGGTGTCAGGTAAGGAAGACACCTCAGAGAAGAGAGAATGTTGTGCCCAGCCCCTTCATTGTAAGCACAGACTGAGGCTCAGGGACCCATTATCTCAAGTATATATGGCCTATTAGTCAGTCAGTCAGGAACTCAGGGAGAGCTTCCTGGAGATAGAGGCCACTGAAGGTGGAGGGAGGGAGGGAAGTGTCCTTAGATCATGATACCTTTTTTTTTCCCACTCAGACTCAATACAATACCTCCCCATCCAGGCTAAGGAGCAAGAACATAAAGACAAAGCACAGCACAGGAGGGCTGCAGCTGGCTCTGGGAGGCTCAGCGAGAGTGGGAGCCAGGCCAGACCCATGGTTACCACACACTACGCACCCTGCCGTGGAAGGGACAAGGGTTTCAACCACCTGGGAGAAGGGAAGGGAAGCAGCAAGGGCCCAGCCAACTTCCTGTCTGCCTCCCCATCTCTTCAGATCCCCGAGAGCTGGGACAATCGTAACCCCTGCACCCTTTCCTTGACCAGCAGGAACGGCCTGTGGGTATTCTGAGCAAGCTATACACTGCACCTCATCCCTTGGCCCCTCCAGGATCCTGGGTACATATTGCCACGCACCAGCCCACATACTGCAGCCACAACCTGGGCTTGGCCCTGTGTTTAAACACTGGCCCCCAACCCACACATGCCGAACAAACCATTTCCAGGAATGTGGCTGGGGTCCTATGTTCCCTCTAGACCTAACTCTCCCCTCTTCCTCAGTGCTCTACCACAGTGCCCACACCATCCGCTGGTTAAAACCACCATCCATTCTTATTTCATAGGTGTTATGTAGACAGATGTTTGAATCCTGAAATATTGAAGACAAACACCCAGGGCTGAGGTTGATAGATCTGGATTTTAGGCTAATGTTTGAACATCTGGGGAAGAGAGGAGGAGGAGAGTCACCCAGAGTTTAGTGAAGTTAAGATACCATGACCCCCTTGGGCTGGGGCTGGGGCAGTCTAACTCCAAACCCAGGATCCTAAATTAGCTAACAATGAGTAGCCTCTCCACAGATGCCTGGGACGCACAGTAGCTGTCCTGGAGTAACAGGACTACAGATGCCATAAAGCTCTGGAGGGACTGGGTTAGGAACCTGTTGTAGTCAGATTTAGCTATTTTGTGGGTTCTTTCTTCCACACTTCTCCACCCCTTTTCTTCCATCCTTTCAACCCCCGAACACTAGATAAGAAAAAGAAGGAAAAAAAAAGGATAGAGAGGAAAGGAAAGAAAGAGATCCCTGACTAAAGTCAGGAGTTGGAAGCAGCGATGTTATCATTAGACTACTTCCTGCTGATCAGGGGCAGCAAGCTCCTTGGGTCAAGTTTGCCCTTCTTCTTTCTGCTTCTTCTTTGTATGCGATGACTTAACAAACTGCGAGCAGCAGCAACCACCAACAACCAGCAATAACTACCAGCAACCACCACCAACCACTAGCAACCACTAACAACTAACTAATAACCACCAACAATCACCAACAACCACCAACAATCACCAGCAACCACCAACAATCACCAACAACCACCAACAACCACCAACAACCACCAACAACCACCAACAATCACCAGCAACAATCACCAACAACCAACATCAATCACCAACAACCAACAACAACCACCAGCAACCACCAACAATCACCAGCAACAACCACCAACAATCACCAACAGTCACCAGCAACCACCAACAACCAACTAATAACCACCAGCAACCACTAACAACCAACTAACAATCAACCAACAACCACCAACAACCAACTAATAACCACCAACAATCACCACCAACCACCAATAATCACCAACAGTCACCAGCAACCACCAACAACCAACTAGCAATCAACCAACAACCCAACCTGCCGCTTGGGGCTCTAGCATTTTTATACCCTCTGAAAACTTTCCAGAATTACAAATGTCACACAGCCGCAGAAACTATCTGCAGCTGGCAAAATCACACCCCTACTAGAGCACGAGGCAAATCAGTCAGACGCTGTGAAGCAACCCTGTATCCCACACTTGGGATCAAAACAAAAACTTATTCCTAAAATATCTCTGTTTTCAAAGAAACCAAAATTCTAAATTTCTCGCTATAACCATGGCTCCTTGACTTCCTCTCCCTGGCTCCTTCAGCATTACAGGAGGCTTTAGTCAAGTCTCTCTTTCCGCTGCATGTCCATGAGTTCATGGGCAGGGATGCCAGCCCAGACTTGATGGAACCAGCCTCAAGTCAAGGGAATGGTGGGCAGCACTCCCACTCTCCAGCCCTAGTAAGAAATCTGAACTTCTGCTCCTCCCTCAGCCCCCTCTCATTGCCCTCCCACCCAATCTTGCTTCTAGCATCTTCCAACCTCCTGGCATGCTGGGGTCACTGCTGCTGAGAAGCACATTGGAGTTAGGACAGATGGCATCCAGGACACAGGGGCTCGCCCTACAGGTGTTTTTCAGTGGCTATGCTCACCTCCATCTCTGTGCTAACCCCCGCTCCATTTGGTGGGAGATGGTGCCGGCTAGATCTCACAGGCTGTGGGGAGCAAGCGAATCGATGAAGAGCAGTGTTGATTGGGAGTAGCAAGTGC